CCGATTTGAAACCCACCACCCCAACCCACCAATTTGAAACCCCAACCCACCGATCCCCGCCGATTTTAAACCACGAGGAAGGAGAGGAGAGAGAAATCGCCGATTCACGCTCAATTCTTCGCCGTGAAACTTTGGAACTCGCCGGAATCGCCTCAATTGGACTCGATCAAGTGACAGGTTGAGGAAGAGAGAGAAAAAAAATTGGGGATGAGGAAGTTTATGTAGAAATTTGATGAATAGTGGTGATGAGGAGGAAGATGAAGGAGGGTGAAGGTGGCTGGAATTTGTTTCGGTGGCTAAGGGGTTGATTTGGGTGAAAATAGGTAACTTAATTAATGTTCGGGTTTAAGCTAATTAGATAAAATCAGTTTTGTAATTAGGGTGTTTTTAAAAAAAAGTAAGGGTAAAATGGTAATTTTACCACTAAAAAGTTACTAAAAAAGGAAAGAAATGGGAAAGTTGCAAGTAATGTGGACCGGCCCACAAAGGAAATTGTTGCAAGTAAAGTGGACCGGAGGTAGTATAATTGCAGAGTCATTTTTACAATACTTAACCATATCACTCCAACTCTCAATTCTCATGCACTCCCTCTTTTTTTTTTTTTTTTTATATATGTGTGTTTAATAAAATAATTTCCAAAAAATTGCATGCTACAACTCCAAATTAACACTTGTCAAAAAAAACAAAAAAAAAAAAACACTTATTTATAACTTCCTTTACCAAGGAAAAAAAAAAAAAAAAAACTATAACTTCTACTTATACTCCGTACTATTTTTTTCTAAACATACATAAATCACATGCAGTAACACGGGTACATTCTAGTTTTAATTAATTTATAAGCGTAATACCTTTATTGTTAGTGTCGCTTAATCACAACATATTTAATTTGACAAATGGCAGCCTTACAATCTCATATTTGTTCGGTGGTTATGAAAATAAGAAAATCAAGCAGTAACGAAAATAAATACTACGTACAAAAAATACCCCGTATAATACAACCATTTTATGACTTAATTCCGACAATTTTGCGTCAATCGATCTCATGCATGCAAAACTTGCACTGATGTACGGTGAGACGGTATAATTGAAATACTAATTTTAGTCTTTATGCTGTTGCATGTAATATATTATCAATTTTTAGCTGTTATGATTAACAAATCAGTATACATCCAATGTATAATAATATTACTCTATATATTGAGATAACTTATATCAAATTTAGGATAACTTTTACAATTTTTGGATAACTTTTGTCAATAAATCATAGATAAATTGTACATCGGATTTTTATAAATGTTTATCATAGAGTATTCCATAAGATTCAAACCTCAAATCATATATAGATAAACATCAACATCGTCATTAAACTAATGTTTGATTTATCAACGTCTTAATTCCTAAAGTGTATACTACACAAATTAAACAACCCATTGTTTACTTAGCAACAAAGAGTCCATATTTTCTCATTTACCATCAGGTATTCAGGTATTGAGATTCAAAGTCGTCACAAAATACCATTAAATCAAGTTGACAAAAACAATAAATTTTGCTAAAATAATTATGCAACCAACAAAAGTATTAACCTTAATCCTTTACACACCCTTGCCCCACGTTTCGTACGTGGCTCTAACAACATACAATTATCAACCAGATTATTCAACTAATTTACTTCTCATGCAAGGATGCATTATTTTCCAATAAACAATAATTTATCAAGTATATACGAGTACGTATTTTGTATATTTATATACTTCTCAGGCAAGCTAAGGATAATACATTATTTTCCAAGTATAACATACGGTTAATAATTACGGAGTTATACTTATTCCATGTATATACTACGTATTTTATTTACTTCTTATGCAAGGATACATTACTTCCCAATGAGCAATAAACAATTATTTTCCAAGTATATAACAACTACGGAGGAAAAATTGGTGAAAATAATCCCAACTTTGAGGCATTTACTTTTAATAATCCCAACTTTGTATTATTATTGAATAATCCCAACTTTATGGGGTATTCGCTTTTATTGGTTCCAAGTGACCGGTAACCTGTCAAACAGGTAATATATATATTTATTTGTTTTAAAAAAATATGGCACCACTTGATTGGCTAAAAAAGGCTAAAAAGAAAAGAAAAGAAAAAGAAATTTTTTTTTGAAAAAGAAAAACCATCACGCCACCCCTCCCCAACCCCACTCCGGCAGCCCCCTCCCCAACCCCCACACTCTAGCAACCTCTCTCCCTACACCCAACCTGCCAAAAAAAACCCCTCCCAACCACCGAAACAGCCCCCCTTCCCCTAAATTGACCTGATTCCCACAACACACCCACGAAAACTATCCCAAAAAACCACCTATCCCCTTCCCTTCACCCGAAAACCACCTTTCTCCCTTCCCTAGCCCCGAAAAACGTTTATTAGCGTTGGGGAAAGGGTAATGAGTGGTTTTTGGGGTGGGGGGAAGGGGAGGGGATGGTTTATTGGGAGGGTTTTTGGGGGTGGGGGTGGGAATCAGGGGCGGTTCAGGGGAAGAGGGGTTGTTTCGGTGGTTGGAAGGGGTGGGGAGAGGGGTTTCCGACGGGTGGGGCGAGGGGAAAGCGGCTGTCGGATTGTGGGCGGTGGGGAGGGGGCTGCCGGAGTGTAGGCGGTTGGAATGGGGCAGGCGAATTGTGGGCGGTGGGGGTTGTTTGGTTTTTAATTTTTAATTTTTAATTTTTAATATTTATTATATATATTTTTTTACCAATTATGTTGCGACACGTGTCCCATAACCTGTTATAATAGGTTGGTTTACCGGTTGGGACCAATAAAAGCGAATACCCCCTAAAGTTGGGATTATTCAATAATAATCCAAAGTTGGGATTATTAAAAGTAAATGCCTCAAAGTTGGGATTATTTTCACCAATTTTTCCTAATACTTATTTCTATATTTTATTTACTTCGCATGCAAGGATACAATACATCCTAGTTAATAGTTTTCAAAAAAAAAAAAAAAAAAAATACATCCTAGTTAATACGGAGTATGTACTTTCTAAGTATATCATTTAATAGAGATAAGCTAAAATACAGTCCCTGAACTATGGCATTAGTTGCATATTTGGTCCCTCATCTTTCAAATGAGGCAAATTGGTCCCTCTACCACCCTGGTCTCACCATTTCTGGTGGAGGAACTTATGATTCGGCAAAGTTTGGGGATGTGTACTGCCAACTAAGCAAAACTTAAGGGACTTATCCTAGTTAGCATTTATCTAGGGATTACAAATCATTTTTTTTTGTCAACTACTAATTAATATTTATTATGTACAAACTTTGATTAAAATGAAAGAAAACATACCCAAAATTTTTGCTTTTTAAAAAAAATTAAATGACTATTTTTAAAAAAGATATATGACTTAGAGAATTAAAGAAGAAAATTAAATATGACTTAAAAAATTAAAATCTTTGACTTTCTTTCAAAAAAAAATTAAATAATTCGAATTAAAGAAATAGGAAAAGAAAAAAAAGGAAAAAAAAAAAGAAAAAAAAAAAGGGTCGGCCCTCTCTTCTTCTCTTTCGGTTTGGCTGCTCTAATGGGGAAACAATCCCTTACTTTGCACCTCATTAACGATCATCATCAATCACCATCTTTTAATCCCAGCCTTTTATTTATTTTGTGATTTAATCTTGGCCTCTTGATTTAATTAATTATGTACAAGCTCATGCACAATATAGTTCAGCCGAACCGGAGGTTTGGGTTGCGTGGTTGATTAATGACGGTGGTGAGGCTGCAGACGGGTGGAAATGGGGTTATGTGTTTGTGGCAGGTTGTTGGTGATGTGGGGTGAGAAAAGGTGGAAAATCCTATAGTTTTTTTAATTTTTTTTTTTTTGGAAATTCTATAGTTTGATTAATGCAAATCATAACCAAAATATTAATGTTGATGGGAAAAAAAAATTAATGTTAGTTAAAAGATTCCCTTTTAAAAAAAACTGACAAAAAAAAAATTAATTAATCATGGTCCCTAAACTTTTGCTAACTAGGATAGGTTCCTAAACTTTTTTTAAAATATTATTTTTTTTGCCACATGGGCACTTTGGTCCTTAAACTTTGGTGACTCATCTTTTTTCCACTGGAAAAGTAAGTTATGGGTGGTTGAGGGACCAATTTGCTTCGTTTGAAAAATGAGGGACCAAAATACTACAAATACTATAGTTGAGGGACCGTATTTTAGCTTAACTCTCATTTAATAATTAATATGTATTTCACATTTATTATTAAGCAGTACGAGTATTTTTTAATTTCCTTAAATGTATTATTAGAGTGTTGCTCACTTTTCAAATTTGAACTATTTCCCATTAAAGACTTGATAAAACTTATCTATACCTGATTGCCTAAGCTAGGACTAAATATTTGATTTAAAACTCAAATTATACCCAATATCATTTAATTAATCTAATTTGATCTGCTGGTTTAAATTGACTCAATAATCAGTGAATATAATGATGTTATTTTATTAATTAGAACCAAACATATTTCAACTATACTAAGACTAGAAATAATATTTTGAATGAGAATTACTTGAATTTGTCCAAACCAAAATCATCTTATGCAAAACTAATCCAAATAATCTAATTACCACCCCAAAACTCAATTAATTTACGTAAATATCTTAAACTCATGTAACCCAATTAGTTTACTCATATGATTCAAATTCAATCCAAATAATCTACATAAAATCTCATAAACTCTATAACCCAGTTAATTTATGTAAAATCCCAAAACTCTATAACCCAATTAATTTACGTATTACTTCCTCCGTTCTTTATTACTTGACCCGCTTTGACTTTTACACTATTCACCACCCCTTCTTTGCCTATATTTTGTGAATAATATGTAAGGAAATATATATTCATGTACGATCTTTTTGGATTCGTCTCAATATGTACTATCATAATATATAACTTTTATAATTTTTACTTTCGGAGAATTTAAGTTATTGATTGTTAAAGTTTTGCATTGGCAAGCGTGATAAAAGAAACAGATCAAGTAAAAAAAACATAGGAAGTATGCTATTAAATTCACTTTCTTAAAACTTACATCGTATTTTTTCTTTTAAGAAGTAAAATATAGGAATATTTTACCTTACCAAATAAAAAAAATAAAAACAAGGGTAAAATAGTCAATTCACCTCAACCTCTACAGAGGCCCTACTAGAAAGTAGATACCGCCTCCCTCCCCAAGTTTCGAAGTCCATAATATTTTATTTTTAAAAAAACACTTTCTTAATTTAGTAAACCGACGGCAAACTCAGAGTTAGATATTTCCTGTTATCCACCCAAAAAAAAAAAAAACAATTTGCGAAATTAAACCGCCTAATTTAAAAAATCCATAAAACCGCCTCTAAAAAATAAAAACCGGAAACCAGTTACCTTTGAAGTCGGTTCATCTGTTACGTAAATTCTTTCCCTTTCTCTCTCCTCCTCATATAAATACAACCCCACTATTTTCATTCTTTTATTATTTCCGACAAATTCATATTTCTTTCATGAAAACTAATTTTCTGAAATAATCACAAATTTAGATGAAATTTTTTTGAATTTTATTCATCATAAATTCTCAAATCAAAACTCTTTGATTTTGATTTTCTGCAAATTTGATAATAATGGAAGCTTACAATGTCCAACACCTTGAATTCCCCAAGAATTTCATCACCATCGATTACGACAATGATTCCTCCTCCGTCTCCGATTGCGAAAGCGGCATCACCGGCGGAACCGGCGGCGGTCCGGAGGTGGTGACGTCATCATCTTCCTCCGGTGACCGCCGGCGAGGAATCTTCGACGAATCTCTCGCAGTTGAGCTCAGTGACGATGAAAGATCCTCCGAGGTGATTCGCCGGAGATTCCTCTCGGCAATGGAGGATGAGACGGAGGTGGTTTCCATTCATCGGAGGAATTGGTCATCGGATTTTTCTGCTCAAGCTAGGGTTCAGTCGTTTCAGTTTCACTCCAAAGGTTTGGCTGCTAAGCTTGGCGGCGGCGTTAATGGCGGTGATTCAAACTCCACCATTAAATTCGCTTGGTATGGCGGTTCTAAAGAGAGGATTCAGCGCATTTTAGCTCGCGGTTTTAGCTTCCTTGACCTCGAACACAACAATAATGCCGCCATTTTTCTCTCTCCTGATCATTCCCCTGCTCCAAGGTAATAATCAAAATCAACTGTTCATCTTAATTTGTACAATTATTACTCAAATTAATTCAATCCAATCACAATTGATTTCTGATTTTTCTGTTTATTGATTTTGATTGAATTTTGTAGTGTTGAGAAGGCGATTCCAGACGAAAATGGAGTTCGACATTTGCTACTATGCCGAGTTCTTCTCGGAAAATCGGAGTTAATTCTCTCAAGCTCAGCTCAAACAGAACCAAGTTCCGATGAATTTGATTCAGGAGTTGATGATTTTGAGAATCCAAACAAGTACATAATCTGGAGTACAAATATGAATTCACACATTTTGCCTGAATATGTTGTTAGTTTCATAACTCCACCGCCTTCTTCTCCTTCAAGAGGTAAATCCCACCGCTCCTTTTTCGAGTAATAGTCACATATACTATTTTGGGTCGTATTAATTAGATTTTCTTGTGTTAATTTATAACAGGGAATTCGCAAAATCGGGTGAAAATGCCAGCATCCCCTTGGATTTCTTTTCCAGCATTAATCTCAGTATTGGGGAGATTCTTGCCTGCTGATGCTATTTCCTTGATCAGCAAGTATCATTTGGAGTATAAAGTATGTCTTTAACAACTTTAATTATTTATTTAATTTAATCAAATTTAATTTAAATCATTATTACTCTGTTTTTTTTTTTTTTTATTAAGCTAATTGTATTTATTTTGTTGATTTATAATTTCCAGGAAAAGAGGATTTCAAGACCAGAGCTTATAAAAATAGTGAGACAGATAGCAGGGGATAAGCTGCTTATTGCTGTTATTAAATCTTGTAAAGGCGCTAAGGTAAACTTTTTTAATTTTCGGTCACTTCGGATTTATAGCTTATATCGAAATGCATGATAAAATCAATTAAAATCTTAATTTCATAAGTGGAGTCGACTTAGAGGTTAAGGAAAGCGTGATGAAAATATATGTCGATTTTTATGAATTCGGGATTGCACGATAAAATCATGATTAGAGTTTACGGGTATTGGAATGTTATAATAAAATCATGTGTCATTTTTAACGGGTTTTTGATATACGTGTATGTACATGCCGAATATCATTTAAACATCCTATGTTTGGATTAAAAAATTGAAGTCGGTTAAGAGACGTTTAAATATATTAATAATAGGTCGGCATCTTGTTCATGTTCATTCAAATCCGTATAAAAATAAGTATTTATTATTTATTAAGGGATCAAATTCGGGGTACTTATTCAACACACTTTTAAGAGTAGAATCAGATTCAGATTATATTTGACAAATGTACATGTATTTTTATAAATTATAGTACTCTCAATTTGACAAATTGTGCAAATTGGGAAAATGCATAATTGTCGTGAGCTTGATACACCTTATCGATTACGTTTGGTGGTTGCTGCTTGCTTGCATGCTTTCCGTGTTCCTTTCGTTGTTTCGATCATTTCCGATTTTTTTCCCCACATCTATATTCGGCGCGTCTTTATAATACTTCGTATAGAAGATAACTAACTTAGCTGGTAAAGTGTTGGGTGGACGAATGGACCAAATCTCATTTGTAACACCGTATTATATACATAGTATGATTTCATTATATTTGTTGGAATTTTAAATAAATTACATACAACCTACACTCAAATTATTTTGAGGTAGCCTGTATTTTGTGATTATATGCATATCAGTTATAAAAATCGCGTCATTATGAACTATGATAGTTTAGACCGTATTTATCAAAAGAAAAAAAAAAGATTGTTTAGACCGTAAGATTGCATATATTTAGACTTAGTCTAATAGAGTAAGATTTTTCTTAATTTTTTTACTAGCTAATTTGGTTATACATTGTCAATATGGAATTATAATAAGCTAATGTTTTTTTTTCCCCTTCTTACGTTACGCAGGAATTGAAGATGCCATTTGGTTTCTTTCGCAGTAGGAACACTAACAAGGACTAGAAATTGAATTTTTTGGGGGGAAGGAGCAAAGTTGTAACGCATGAAGAGTGTTATAGGGTTTAATTCATGTCATTTTGATTTGTTACAGTTGTAAATTTGTATTTTCGGAAATGGGAGGGGCGATATGGATCGGATATGATATAGAAGAAGAAAAAGAAGAAGAAGAATTAACATGAATGGATACATGATTAGCATTAGTTTGTAGTGATCCTAAATGCTCAAAGAGCGTATGATGTAGTGGTTGTTTTTGTATTGATAGATTAGAGCATATACTTGTTTCAAATCTTGTAATAGAACAATCTTTTCACTACTGTGAAAGAAAAGCAATGAAAGGGGTGGCTTAAATGATAACTCTTCAACTTTCTTCTACTTTCGTTTCTCATTTTTTTTGGGTTTTGGCTATAGTTCGTATCTACTTCGTACAAGACAATTAATACGCGAAGTATTAATTATCTTACATTACATAATAAATAACGAATTTAAATATATACTCCTTAAGATTTAAGATATTCTCATTATCTTGCTATTAGAATGAGATTGAGAAAACTTCTTTTATCTCAACTAAAGGGACTAAAATGATACTTGTACATGGTATTTGCATATCTTATATGAAACGATACATGAAGCATTATTATAGATTTAACAAATCTTTTCCAAGATGATACATACATAAATTATTATTGCATTATTGATAGACAAACATCTGTTTTATACGACGATACATGAAATATTATGAGGAAAAAAAAAAAAAAAAACGTATTTGGTAATATCTTATCTAAAACGATACATAAAACATTAGTGATTGACAAGATTCACAAGAAGAGTCAATTTGAATAAACAAGACACATGACACTGCCATACAAGAGCATATGGGAGGTTTAACAAATTAATATAGTAATAGATAGAAGTAGACCTCAACACTTAGAGAAAGGATGATTAAAAATGTAGTAATATTATTAAAAGAAGTAAACATGAAAAAACGGTGAATGAACAAGCTTTACTCAACTCAAGGGGCACGTGAAGAGAGAGAGAGAGAGAGAGAGCAATGGCACTTGCACAACGGCCTGAGAAAGCGTCCACAATGTCGAGCCCACTACAACCCACCCGCACCCACAGCAGCTCACCAAAACCGTGGGTGGGGTGACTCGTGTTAAAACCGTGTGTTTGTGTTAACTAGTTTTTTTATAAAAAAATTCATTTTTTATATTTTACTTGTATATTGTATGGTATTATTAGATATGAATATGATTTTTATGATTATGATCACTTGTGGTGTGGTCCAACTGAATCTAATTTTATTAGTTTTATTGGAGGGATCTAACAACGTCAATTATTTGCCCAACTTGGGTTGTCATATGTTCAATTGGATTGTTGGATAGCTGGATTATTAGCTATGCTTATTTATTGTTTTGTTGATTGTTCCAATATGGTATTGTAGATTTGGAGAATATGCTTTGTATGAGAGGTTTTCTTTTTTCTTTTTTTTTCTTTGGCAATTACTATTAAAAAAGCAAAAGAAATTATTATTTCGTGAAAATTCACTTATTTAATTGATAATTTTAAGCGTTTATGCAGTCACAAGTTTATAAAGTGGTGAAAATACCGTTTTAAAGTACATTCTATTTTGCCTTAAAAAAAAGTACATTCTATTCACCTGATTCTCATGTTTTTTTTTTAACTTGTCTCAATTAACTAAAAGTTGTCACAACTTATTTGAAATTAAAATTTTTCTCTTCGCTTATTTATTACGGAGTAATCCTTAAGGTTGTTCATCCTAAAATAAGTGATTGGCATAAACAGTAATAGACTTTAAATAATACACTCTCAATTCCTTTTATGTGTTCCCCATTTCTAACACTCTACTCACTTTTGGTACAAGTGGGTTCATTCTTTTGCCTTTAATCTATCATACTCCGTAAATTATACTTTGTATGTGACAAACTCAAAGAGACAAACCATAGAGAGATGATATGGTAATACTCAAGAGGAGAACCAGAATTGGAGAGATTTCTTGGTAATTGCTATGAAGCCAACTCTAGCAAATCAATTTATAACATTGGGCTGAAAAGTAGACAACTATTCACATACAAGCCCATTGATACTTATAAGCCCACTCCAATTATAATTCTGCATTTGATTATTGGGTTTTCATCTTTCTAGCATAATATGAAGGCATGAAGCTATATTTTCTACTCTAATCTCTAAATATGTGCTCTTTTATCTCACATATTCTTCCACAATTCTAAGGACTAAGGAGAGCTATATAAAACCCTTCTTGTCCTTAAATTCAGAGCATAGAAATTTAAATTTTGAAAATAATGGATGAGTTATGTTAAGAGAGTCATAAATTATACTCCTATAACAATCTTCTCAACGTTAACTGGTACCAGTGAGAGCATGTGATAATGTCTTCAAGTCCTTCACAAGGTGGATGAAATTTTTCAAAGAGAATAGTTTTCTTCAAAGAAGCCTTGCAAGGTCAGCCTCAAAATCATTCAACTCGAGAAACCAGGTGTCGGCCATGGTTCAGGGTTCAAATTAACCATCTTGATTCATAGATGCTTTTAGGAACTGTCAATGAATCAGAACAAGATTAAATTAATATTTCTCAGAAAGCTAATTTGACAAACACATGAACTTGTTAATTGATGATTAATATCGTTTGATTATACATATGCCAACATTACAATAAATCGTGTATTCCCCTTCCTACTTTAAAGAAAATTTCACTTTACAAGTTCAATTGGTTCGCCATGGAAAAATGTAAAAGATAAGAAAAAAAAAAAAGTAATGAACCAATAAAACTACTGCTTCAGAGCACTGGGTACCTAACATAGTTGTGGGTTTTCCTAACTGTTTGCATTGTTGTTGATGGATTCTTTCTCCCTCCAAACTGCATGTACTTCATCAGTTCGAAATCTTTGAGTAAATGTTGATTCCTCGAGGGGGGTAGATAATCCATGAGCATAAGCAAGAAGACCAGTGTATGCAATCATGGCTCCATTGTCAATGCAATATCTATCATCAGTAGAATATAACCGCCCACCTCTCTCAGAACACATTATCCTCATCATTTCTTGCAAACGCTCATTACAACCAACACCCCCAACTATGAGAACATCTTTTGCATCACAATGAGCCATGGCTCTTTCTGTTATTTCAACAAGCATCGCGAAGAGAGTTTCCTAGTATACCAACCACCAGATACAAAGAAATTAATTCACAGATTTCAAACTTTGCAGATATAACAAATTTTTTAAAAAATAATAATAAAATAAAAAAAAAATTATGAGCCATCAAAGCAGACACGAAACAAGTACTTACTTGCAGAGAGTAGCACAAGTCAGCAGGTGTGCATTCATTGCTTTTAAGTTTCTCCTCAGCTGTAGTTTCAACGAAGCTCAATATGCCACTAAATGAAACATCCATTCCCTTTACAGCATATGGTAGATCTATGAATTTTTCACCTTTCTTAGCAAGCTGGGCATAAACAGAAAAAAGGCCAGTTAACAATTTACAGATACAAAGCACAGAAAATGACAGCCACATCCAGTTTGGACCCCTCTGTTATATTTAGAGATGTCTAATTGTATGCAATTTCACCCCTTAACTAATCAAAACAAAAACAAAAATGACTAAAAATTCAGAAATTAACAACAGAATAAAAATAAGATATCACAATGTAAAAGAGGAGCATGGCAAGTTGATTATAGTATCTGAGTATCATACCACTCTATCTAGAGCACACCACCAAAGATGAGAATGCACGTCTTTTGTATATGCATGCAAAAAATTTCTTTGCTTCCATTCTAAACTCTCCTATTTTAATTTGAGGTGGGAAAGTGTCTTGAGGAAAGTATTTGTAAACTGTTAGCATTCTCTGTTCTTTGCAAGTGACCACATAAAGTTGAGCAATGCAATAATGAAATGTTAATACAATGCTCAAATATTACACCAAAACTAAATACTAAAGTTCTAAACATTTGGCCACTTAACATGCAAGATAAGGAATCCTACCTGTAGATGACCTTATAAACTACAATTACTGTAATTCCACTAATGCAGTGTTGATATTTATCCATACAGAGCAACTAACCAACAAAATAAATCACAAATATTGACTACGTTAACATTATCACTAATAATGCAGTAGTTATACTCCTATATATCTTCAACACAAAACAAAGAATGGGAGATAACACAATCAAGAGACATTTTGTTAACAAGAAGAGCGCATTCTACCTGTTCAATGTTATATCCTGGACTAGGATCATTTGAAAGTGTCAAAACTCGAGCAAAGCGATCCAAGCAATTACCAACAGCAATATCAATGGTCTCCCCAAAAATCCGATACCTGCCCTCACTATACGCGATCACTTGTGTATTACCCCCACTAACATACAGCACAACAGGATCAACTGCTCCTGTAACAATCCTCCCCATCTCAATATGAGCAACACAGTGATTAACACCAACAATCGGCTTCTTCCACAGCTGCGAAAGAACCCTTACCACAACCGCGGAAACTTGCAAGGGAGCACCCATTCCCGGGCCTTTGGTATAACACAGACAATCAATATCATCCGGGGTTATTCCAGCCGTAGTAAGAGCAGATTTCACAAGGGGCAGGACATGTTCAAGGTGATGGTGAGCGGTTTCTCGGGGAAGAAACCCATGTCCTGGTGGGGTAATGTAGGTGTGTCTAGGGTTCGATAAAATGGTTCCATCTAGGGTTACAACACCAACACCAATCTTATTAGCTGAACCTTCAAAACCAATGGCAATCATTCTTTTGCTCATCTTTTACCCACAAATTAATGCCCACTAAATCCCTAAAAAATTGAAAATTTACAAAAATGAGTTCTTCATCAAATCAATCACTGATAAATTACTCCACATTAGTTCCATAATTTGCAAAACACAAACATATTAATTGCAATAGAATCCGGGAAAATGTTATTTTTTTTTCCAAAATTATCAATCTAAGTTAACTGTTGAAACTTCATATCAAGGGTATAGCACCAATTTAAAGCAGTCAAGTTAAAAGGATGATTCTTGTGAATGAAATTATAGTACCAGATTACAAATTCAAATGATAATAAAACTAAAAAATGGAATGAATTATAGAAGAAAGATAGAGAAAGTAAAATACCCAGATGAATTGCAGAGCAGAGGAGGAGAAATGTGGGACGATGACGCCGCCGGCCAACTGAAGTGGTACAAGGCGGAGGACTGAGGAATGAAATTATGTTCGTTCTCTTCGGCTTATTTTAAAATCTATGAGTAATTTGAAATTCAACTCTACAAGTGTCAAGTGTGGGTTACTTATTCTATTGGGAATATTCCCATTTTAGCTAGTACTACCTCCGTCCCCGAATGATAGTCACTATTTCCATTTTTGGACACCCAAAATGTTAGTCACATTTCACATTTTTTGTTCCCATACAATAACACAAAATTACTTATATGCCCTCAATTTTTTTGGCTTTATTATCTGTGATACCCAAAATACCCTTATAATTGTATTTGTACTTGTGCCATAATGAATGAATTGTCTCCCTTGATTTTTGGTGTTCTGAATACTTTTGAAACGGTGCTTTCTCTCTCTTAATTTCTCTCTCTTCATTTCTTTGGTTTTCTAGGTTCTTCCATTGAAGAACGACTCATTTCTTCATTATCTCTCTTAAAATCGAGCAACTTGGGGTTCAAAAGCGCCGGAAAAATTGTTGATTTTTTCTGTACGTGTTCGAACGAATCAAAGCCCTCATCTAATTTTGTGAATCCGCCCTTTTTAAAGGTGATAGGTATCGTTTTTTTTTTTCGATTTCCTGTATATTTTTTTTTCAATTTTCTGGTCTGAGTAATTTGATTATATGGGGTATTTCTTGATTCTTTATGATGTTTTACTGAAATAATTACAATTTTCGGATTATTTTTGCCGATGTTTACTTCTTTGCCATGGATCTTGATTTTGTTCAATGTTATGGAGTATGATTTGGATTTAAAATATGTTCCCCTAAATCTTGATTATATTGTGAATATTTATATTTGCGATTTTATATATTTTCCCTAGTAAGGTTATCTGTTCAATTTTGTGAATTAGGGTTTCACTGTTCACTTGAATTAGGGTTTCACTGTTCACATGATTTAGGGGTCAATGTTCAATTGCATGTATATTTATTTATTCAGTTGCATGTACACTTCACTATTCAATATATGAGAGCTATGATTTGGGAAACAATGTTAGAGGTTTAGTTATGTATTGTTGACATTGTTATAACATGAGTCCTTTTGTTTGAATGCTTCATGGTTGAAACAGGAACAAAGGACCCATTGTTATGCATCTTGAGTGATTGTATACTCATGTTGGTTTGATGTGTGGGTGTCTTTAGTACTTGTGTACTCATATAATGATATTGGTTTGATGTGTGGCTGTCTTGAGTACTTGTATGCTCATATAATGATATTGGTTTGATGTGTGGCTGTCTTGAGTACTTGTATACTCATATAATAATATTGGTTTGATGTGTGGTTGTCTTGAGTGATTGTACACTCATTTAAACATGTTGGGACAATGTATACTCATTTACACTTGCTTTTTTGATGGTTGGCTGTCTTAATTGGTTACATGTTGATTAAGTCATGATTGAGTGAGTCCCCTGGTTGCTTTTCAGGTTGCCTGTGACCATGAGTCAGTCCCCTAGTTCAAATGAATCACACTCTCATCACACTCACAGCTATGAAATGTATAGAAAGCAGAAGGCAAGCAGAGAAGAGGTTGATAAACCATCTAATTCTCCAGCCAAACCACCAAAATCTCCAGCTAAACTCCCATCTACCTCTAATGTGAAAGCTCCTGCCAACTCTCCTGTCAAACCCCGTGTTCCCATTCCTTTGGACCAACAAACTAGTTCACTTATTGACAGGATATTAGCTGATTCCAGATCACACTACACATCTGAGTCCTACCAATGCACTGACCGTGACTGTAAATTAGGCAGTGGCTGTGATGGGAAGCACAGTTACAGCAATGAGACTTTGAGAATTAGATTTGGAATTGTCCCAACAGGAATGCCTCCTGCAGACTCTGACTATTGGCCTCATAATTGGTACAAAAGGCAATGCAGGAAGAAGGGTTTGCCAAGACCTTATGACAATGTGGACTCAGACTGTTCAGACTCCAATGATGATGATGGTGGTTGCTCCCCTTCTAAGTTGCCTATGTCCCAGAGAAAGGATTCTGATAATGAATCTCACAGCTAAGTTTCAGAATGCCTTGCTGTTATTTGTTGTGGTTTCTTTTGTTTTCTAAGACTGGGGATAATTGAATGTGATGGTTGGTTGTATTTAGAACATGAGGATTATCTTGTTGGTTTTGTTTTGGTTTTTTTGTTTTTGTTGATGATGATGATCTTTGGTAGTCTTGTTGATATGCTCTTTTGGATTGGGTTTTAATTTTGTTGCCTATTATCATGATATGTTGGTTAAATATGCCTTGTTGGTTGCCTATGTTGGTTGGATATGCCTTGTTTGGATATGCCTTGTTGGTTGCCTAAAATTGTACTTGTATACTCATGTTGGGTTGATGTTTGGCATTTTTTGATTACTTGTATACTCATGTTGGGTTGATGTGTGGCTGTTTTGAGTACTTGTATACTGATGTTGGTTTGATGTGTTGTTGTGTTGAGTATATGCCTAGGATGAGGTCTGTGATGATATTTTATTTGGGCATTTAGAAGGCATATAGGATCTTGTTCATGTCATTTAGACCACAAGGTACCATCTTCCTCAAGGAATCTATAAAGCATGATATGAGTTTTATTTGGCTGCTCAATTTGCCTATTATGATAAAAACTTTAAAATCTGAGACCTTTTGTCATAACATGTCCTTACACTTAGTGTTTTATTACCAATGCGATATATGTTTAGATGTTCAAATTATTGACCACTTCACAATTATCCCATTAGGTAATAAGACATTATGTGAGTGATCCTAGTTTGATAAGGTCAATGATGAATGATGGGAGTATGATGTTAGGAGGAATTTTGTTTTTGCCATATAACATGTATTGTGTTTTGGTGACTTGTTTGGTTAGATGAGATTGCTTGTGTTTCCTTTGTGTGAGCTTGTAATCCACAATATAAGTCTTCAATGAATATGCACTAAATGCCCTGAGACCTTGTGTATGTTGTAATTTAACTTATGTTACTTATGTTGTTCAACACTTGGGGTGTGTAAGTAGTTTATACAATGGTATTTACCTATTTATACACTCCATCTGTTGAAACAACATAAGGTGTTGGTTTTATTTGACAATGATGAGTCTTTTTTTGTTGAGATGCCCAACTTTAAATGCCCTATCATTCTGCTGTCCTTAGAGAATAACTCAGACTACTCTTGAATTATTTTCTTTGTTGACTATGGATTGTGTGTGGATGTTTGGTTGGTGTGTCAATGATGCTTGGGGACAATCTGAGTTAACAATAAAAGAGTGCAATGACAGTTTTAGAGCACTTTGTTTTCCAAAATTTTTGTGCATATTTCATTCCATAATAAAGGATTTGATTACATATTTATATTCACCTAATGTCTTAACCAAAAGATAAGAACAAAATATAAAAATAAACATGCCAATTTTTTTTACACTTGACCCCTATTCACTACTCTGCATTGGCATTTGAAGTAGATGCTTCATGATCATTTGCCATAACAGGCCTATATGCCTCTGTGTTTGGTCTTTCTTGTGTGTTGTGCTCTTCAATTGCTTGTGTGTTGTCAATGTTGACCTCTTCAGTGTCTTGCTCATCATCTGAGTCTGGCTTGTCCATGTACACTCTCTCCCATGCATCAATCACAACCCACATAGGAGCTTCTATAGGATCTTGTAGCCTTCCCTCTCTTTCCAGCCTACCTTTGTTAACATGTGGAGGTTCAAATCTGTTAGAACCTTTACTTTTCAGAATTTGGTTCATTGTGTGGCACAAAGTTACCCACACCTTGAACAGCCTATTAGGAGGTAGCTCACTAAATGCATCTTCAACAGCCTTTATCAACTGGTCTGGTGTCTTTGCCATTTTCTTGTGTTGAAGTGATTGAATGCTTCTGAAAAAGCCCAAATCCAGAACATTCATGTCTGGACTGTTTGGTGGTTGCTGAGTTAATATAAAAGTGAACCCTGGTTGTTCACAATGTTCTTGCCAAACTGCATCATTTTGAGTAATATGTGCCTTTGCATTATCTTGTTGAATGTAGATTGTGTTGTGTTGACCTGTGTGAGGCCATTTTTCCATAATTGCTGGAATGACTTTTTCAATCAACATCCACCTTGAGACATCCCTGTTGATTGGATCAATTACCTTTGTGACCATTTCTCCCTTTTTCCTGTATTTTGAGGACCTAAGTGCTGGCTCCTTTTTTGCAAATGGAAAAATGCCTATTTTCCCATCAAAAATGACTTATTTTTCTGCATTGTACCAAGGTTTTGCAACTGCTCCTTGGAACATGAATTTTGGAATGAACTTGGCTGATTGCATTACTCTATGTGGACCTTTTTCTCCTTTTGCTAAATATGACCTATGTGTTTTTTTAGTCAGTGTAAACCATTTTTCATCAATATGTACTGTATTGTACATTGACTGGTACACTCTTTTTGTGCCTGGTGAATCTCCTACAATGCTGTTAAGTATGAATCTCAGCCTATCTAATCTGTTTGCTGGTGTAAGCTTTGGCTTTAATGCATTTGTGTGAGGTCTGACTTCCCCTCTCTCAATCAGTCTCTGGATTGTGCTTTTACCAACATTTAACATTACTGCCAAGTCCCTTTGGCATGATCTGTTCCCCATTGCCACTGCCCTTATGGCATCATTTGGAATTGTTATTCTCTTTCTTCCACAATTGTGGAAGCCTGTTGACATGTTGTACTGTAACTGGGCATCCCTTTGTTCCTTCCCCTTTTTCCATATTCTGAGAATAGTTCTTGAGCACAGATTGAAATGATTGGCTGCCTGTTGAATGGATCCATATTTCAGGTTTCCATTTGTTGACCTTGTTAATAGCCATATCAAAATGTCTAACTTGGCCCCACTACTGAGCCTCCTCCTTGTTGGCTGATGATGAGCTTCAGAGTTTTCTGGGTTGATTGGTGTTTGCTGATTGTTGATGTTGCTTGTTGTGTCTTGGTGATCTGATGTTGCTTGCTGATTGCTGTTGTTAGCTGCTGTCTCTATATGGTTGCTTGCTGGTTCAGATGCATCTGTTGCATCAGGGGAAGGAGTTTGGTTTAAGTCAAACCCAATGTTGTCATGGTTATTTTCTGAGTCAATCCCATCATCGTAGACAAAGTTGAGATCATACTGAAATATTTCAGCATCATTAGTAGCAGCATCTTCATCCATGTCATCATTCAAATTGAAGTCTGAAGCCATTTGGAGTTGGAGGCAATGATGTGATTTGGGTGTCTTTGAATGTGTTTATTTTTTTTAAAGTGTCAATTTTCTGTTCTTGAATTGTTCTCCGTAAAATTCCCTCTCAAATGATTTGAAAATTTGAGAAGGAGTGGTTTTTATAAGGATTTTAGTTTTAACATTAGTCATGAATCCGTGTACTTTCATTCTATTGGATGATGTAATTTTTCAGCTAATTTGATTGGTTAAAAATCAATCACATGGATTACAAATGCATTGCTTTATTTTCATTGGCTATGTAATAAAGAAAAAAAAACCCAAAGGTTTCTCTTTGTAATCCGCCCCTTTTTAATGACAGCAACTTTCTCTCTCTACCTTTTGTTTTGCAAATGATTGGGTTTTAGTTTCCAAGTACTTCATTTATTTCTCCTTAATTCCCGTGATTTTCACCCAAAAGTGACTATCATTCGGGGACGGAGGGAGTATAACTCAAACACGTTAGGGTAATTACTAACCCCTTAAGCCCGTATTAACTTTGTATTGGAATCTCAACAACCACCCATCTTGCCTTAATGACCTAGCGTCTTGTCTAATTGCCCGTCAAAATACGAATCACATCGTGTTAACCTGAAATTTTGACACTTATAATCATCCATTACGAGATTTAATTTCTTAATACACCATTGAACTAACCAATAATGGAATCGATTATTTTCTTCTCGGAATAATTATTTTAGATTTATTAATTAATTTACATCATTCTAGACAAATTTCCATAATAGAACTTCCATTGTGAGGTGATTAGCATCGGCCCAACCCACTAGCCTGGTCCGATTCGTCACAAAAATAGGGTGGGTTTGGACTAGCCCAAAAACGCATTTTTAGTTAAAATTCAAATCCGGTTCGAAAAAACCCGCTTTGATCTGACAAGCCCGCTACTTTGTGCGGGCTCGGACACGAGATATTATGTTAATGCCCGGCCCGACCCAATTTTTTTTTTTTACCTCCATTGATGTATCGTTGGAGATCAAACTTGATTGTCCTCAAAAGCAACAAATTTGCAATATTGGAGTTTTTCAAATCAACATGCAACCATACACCAATAACAATCAATTCCGCAAATCTGCAAGATGAATCTTTTTCAAATTAATTTGTATCACGCACGCACACAATGACACAAAGCAACACAAACAAACAAATTTTACTAAACTAATTAATATTCGTCCCACCATGACTAACATAAACAAGGAAACTTGCTAATCAACTTTACTAATGACACCCCATGCCTTAGGTTTACCTATATGTAGAGATGCCAAAACTTGACCCGAGTGACCTAATTCGAAAAATACCAGATACAGATTTTGACTCGCATAGACACAATAGTTTAGCATAATTCAACTTTAATATAGACCCAATCTTGCCTTGCCTCACTAAACCCAAACCAGACACCTCTAAGGGCATGTTCTCTTACGTTGAAATTCAGTTCAGTTCAGTTCAGCTCCTTATTTCCTTCTCTTATAAAATATTCATTTCAGTTCAGTTTTTTCAGCTTAGTTCAGTATGTTCAGTTCAGTCCAGCTCAGTTCAGTTCAGTTCAGCTCAGCTGAGTTCAGTCAATGAGAACAGACCCTAACTTTATGATGTTTAGATTTAATGAGAGATTAGATTAGGGTTCCTAAAGTTTGATCATAGATTGGTCTTATCATGGACAAATTTATTGATGGTTTCCCTAAAATGTGTGCAATAGCTAGATCTGAAGAAAGAAGGGTCCAAAAATTAGAGGAGAAGTTTTTTATTTTTTTTATTTTTTTTTTTAAGACCGACAAATTATTGACAAATTTATCGATGACAACCTTATATGTGATTCGATTTAATAGAGAATACTCTAGAAGTCTAGAAAAGTTTTTATAAGTTTTTTTATCAAGTTTGATTTAGGCTAAATTTTAAAATTTTAAAATACAGTAATGAATATTCCTAATGACAATTTTTTTAATATAATTTATAAAAATTAAAAAAAATAATAAAATAAAAGTTTTTTTTTTTTTTTGAAACAAAAAAAATAAATAAATTAGAAAACTAGAAGTTAAAGGATTTGGTTATTATTATAATCATATCATTATTGTATTGTTAATTATACACCAAGTATTTTTGCCTTCACATGCAAGTATGAAACTTCCTATATATATGGTACAGAACGTTAAAACATTAATCAATGACGTGTAAATTATTATACAAAAATAAATAAAAACAATCCGACAATTAGGAAATATTATCAAAGTCGGTCATATATGTCGACTTACGTGGTCCCACCGTTTCCTATTGGATAACTGCCTTATATAAATGCTTATTCGTATCGTCCAAGTCTAACTCGAATTGCATGCCTATATATATATGTTCTAATCTACAAATATGTTACAATATCTATCTTTTATGAACTTTGTAACATTTTGTTAACCCCTTTAAACGATCTAATACTTCTGTTTTTATTCACAAATATATATGGATGCTGAGGAAGTTCAATTCTACTACGATGATGACCAACTTTCGGATTGCGAAAGTTGTGTTAGTGGTGAATCCAACGATGAAAGCAACGACAACAATGATGGATCATTATTTGGTGATGATGTGGTTAAACTAAATGAAGATGTCGCGGTTTTTGATATTATTGGGCATAAGTTTTTGTCGACTTTGGTCGATTATGATCATGAAAAGAGAAGTTGTACAACTATTACCGCGATTTATACTATGAATTGGAAAAATTCTCGTATCAAGCGTGCAAGGTTTCAAAGTTTTGATATTTTTCGTAATGCATTAGTGGGAATTAATAATAATAATAACAACAATTATGAAGATAGTTGTTTTGTGAAATATGCTTGGTATTGTGATTCAAAAGAAGAGATTCAAAGGATTGTTTCTGATGGTTTTGGTCATCATCAATTTCGTAATCGTGCTGGGATATGTTTAGCTCCCCTTAATTCTCTAGCAAAAAGGTAACAGATTTTTCCTATTTTTTGCATTATTTTTTATATATTTTTTTTAAGGTAGCATAATTTTTTTTATATTGATTCTTGGGTAATTTATTAGTTATATGATAAACAAGGAAATTATGATTTTACCAAGATTAAAATTATAAACTAATTGTTGATACTTTTAAGTATTTACTACTTTTGATTTTCCATTAATATTTATAATAAACAGTAAATTTGTCAAAATAAATAAGTTTTTTTTTTTTTTTTTATCAATATTTACCTAACTTTTATCTACTCTTAAGTGTCCTAGATATTGTCTCAAAAAAAGTGTCCTAGAATAAAACAGTTTCAAGGCATTTTGCTATGTGGTTTTAGGATGGTTACTTTTAGATTTGTGAAGTGAACGGACTCTCTTACTTGGTTGGTGTGGCAGCACAAACTCCTATTCATATTTGATATGGTACAAGAGATCATACCCATGGTTTGATAGCTTTATCGACTTTAATGTGGGGCTAAATTGAATTAAATCGTGTGATTTTTGAGCTAAAGAGACCTTTTTTTTTTTTTTTGACACAAGCTAAAGAGACCTTATATGTAAGAGGAGTGTTGAAATATATCGTTCCCAAATAACACATATAAGTATCACATGTTGATAAAAGTTTAAAGCCTTAACCCGTATTTGACATGAAAAAAAAAATCATAATTATATATATTGTGTACAATAATCTATATATTGCATTGAGTACTCATTGAAATTATTTTTTTGTTATGCAGTGTGCAAAATTGTATAGTGGACGATGATGGGCTTAAACATGCATTACTTTGCCGAGTTTTACTCGAAAATGTGGGTGATGAATCTGATGATGATGTTGATGTTGTTTCTCAAAACGAGTATTTTGTTTGGAGTAACAAAATGAATACACATATTTTGCCAGAATATGTTGTTTCTTTCACGACTGTTCTATGCTTGGAGGGTAAGCAATTGACCCACTCTTTTATTCTTTAAATATTGTTATTTTGTTTTTATTATATTCTCAAAGAAGTGTACAAATCTTTATTGATTGGAAAAATAATGGTTAGAATTTATTTTAACCTATTGGGATTGATATTTGGTAGTTGAAATTGATTGTTATATGAGATTATCGAGTTTTATAAAAATGTTGTATGCATATAAGAATTGATTATAAGTTGTCGAAACTTTATTTTTACTTCTTATGCATATTTGTTAGCGATTTGAAAGTTGAAACAATATAGTTGTAAACCTGCGACTCTTTAATTTATGTTGTTTTATATATGCTTAGGAGTTCCAAAGGATGAACACATACGGAGGAAACCGGAAACTTCTCTTTGGATGCCATTTTCAACTTTGATATCAGCATTGTCCAATGTCTTACCATCATATAGGATGGATTTGATTATTGAACGTCACAATGATTTTAAGGTAAAATTTGCAAAAAAGAATTTGTGTGTGGTTATATTGTTTGTTTTCTTGTTCTAATAACTTGTTACATGATTATTTTTGTAGGAAAGAAAGATATCACGTCAAGAATTTATAGGAACACTCAAAGAATGTGTTGGACGCGATTTCTTGATCAAATTACTCAAACATTGTGGAGCAAAGGTAGTGTTTTCTCATAAGAAAGGCGTGAGGCATCTAAAGATATAGCTAGGCAATATATATATATATATATTTTTTCTCTAGTTTTTAATTGAACAAAAGAGTATTTTTGATAAATACTTCACCATTTTTGAAGAAAAAAAAATGAGTTAATTCTTCGATAGATTCGTGGCTCATTAAGGGACAAGTCATATTGTATACAATAAATTATTATTTGTATAAAGCAAATTATATTGTTTAGAGTTGGGAAGCACACGAGTTCTTTTTTATTTTACAATCTCTTTGTTTGTTTGTTTGTTTGCAGGGAATGAAAAACACACTTGATTATAAGTGGAAAAAAGGTTTATTAGCGCTTGAAAAAAAATGTGGCTAGATGAACTTCGATGATGGACAACGAGAGAGAAGATGATAGATAGTTTTACTTTCAATTAAAGGTCTTATATAAATTTGTTAATGTTATTTTTTTATTTTTTTTTTTAATAATTGTAATAAACTTTACATTGTATAATTATTGAATTCGTATCTATAGTTGAATCTCTCATTTTTCATGTATGCACTTTAGTGCAATTAATTTTTTTCACAAGTAGTGCAAATAATCTTGATAATCTTAAGCGAGGATTTTAATATATATATATATATATATATATATATATATATATATATATATATATATATATATATATACGGGGTGGTTCCGCTGAAAACAAGACTTATGCTGAAAACAGCAAATCTCAACCATTCATTATTAGCACAAAAGATCAGACGGTTTAAAAGCTCTAAAGATCTTTCCAACCTTACATATAACCAATTTAACTGTTTTAAAGGGTACTACATACTAAAATAAGGTAACTTTATCTAAATTGACAACATTTACATAGAGTCACTATATATAAAAATAACGTAACTATATCAAATTTGACAACCTTTACATAAAGGTCACTATGTACAGAAATAAGGTAACTATATCAACTTTGAGTTTTCGACTCCATTTACATAAAGATCACTATGTATAGAAATAAGGTAACTATATCGACTTTGAGTTTTTGACTCCATTTACCTAAAGGTCTACACACAAAAATAAAGGTCACTATATATATAAAAATAAGTTAACTACATCAATGTTACAATATTTACATAAAGATGGCTATATACATATAGTAGCTACGCATTCCCGCAACAACCACGAGCCACCTTCATTCGCCTAGCCAGTCATGTAGTTCATCCACCTCGCAACCTTCAAATACACAACCAACCTCCACCATTTCACATGATCAGTTATCACAATAACCACCGCAACACAATATTCCAAATGAAATGAATCTCAAAGAATGCCATACCATTAAGTTGAATCACACATAATTACCCAAAACCTAGGCATGCTAATCTTTCTCCTCCTATACTCAACACAAACACAATACAATCCATAAGCAAAGTACTCTGAAATATATATTTGACAACCCACAACTTCAACAGAACCTTTGTTTTCTCACTGCTGCTTAAGATCATAATATTATTGGCAACAAACACAAAAATGTGCTCCAAATAAGGTTAAGAACAACATGAGTAAGAGTATCGAGAAAAAACTTACGCTTACAACCTAATCTACCAAAATCAAGCAAAATTACACAAAATTCAACTCAAAACTACTACTGCAAAACTAAAATTGAAATCGAAACTAAAAAAACAATTTGAAAAAAATAGTCAAAAATTAAGCTAAAAAATAGGATAGATAAGAACTTTGACTTGTAGAGATGCAAAAAATTTTACTTGATCGTTTGAAAAATTGTTGTAACATTAGCTTCTACAAAGATCAAAAATCTGAAATCTCAAATAATCATTAAATTACACTAAGAACTAGCCACTTTGGATTTCCACCATTATAATTTTATTTCAGCTTAATTTTAGCAGAATTACACTAAAAATTAACAAAATTCACACTGATGCAAAGAATCTAAACATCGCAGGAATTGAACAATCGACAAACAAATTGATTAACAATCAAAGGAAAGAAACAAATCGATTAACAGCGAAAAACAAATTGATCGATAAGTACGATAACCAGTAAAATCAAATTAACATGATAGTTAACCTAACCAAAATCGAAAAATAATTACAGAAAAAGAGGCGGATAAACTTACAACACTCTGGAAGTTAAATACAAGTTGAATCACAACAATCGCAGATAAAATTGTAGCAAATTAATCGCAAAATCGTACTCCAAAATTCTAGAATGGGTGAGGAGAGAGAAAATGTACAGAGTAATTATATCTGCATAGTACTCCGTATATAATATCACGCTCAATAAATTCAGTTAAGTGATATATTAGCCATCAGATCATAATATACGGTCAGGATTTAATGTTTTCAGTTTTCAGCTTAAGCCTTATTTTCACATGATCCACTCCCTATATATATATATATATTTTGAAAACAAGTAAGCATGATTATATTAAATCAATCTCCGCCAAAGTTTGAAGGCTTTGGGGAAAAGAGTTCGTACACACAACTTCCGAGTTAGGATTCGTAGCCCATCGTACAACTAAGTGAGCTAGAGAATTCCCTCCTCGTTTAACATGCTTACATTGAAAAAAACTAAATAAAGAACTCATTCTAAATATGTCTTCAAAGATTAGAAAAATATATAGGAGCAGCACCTTTCTTTCTCGTCTGAATTGCCCGAGTTACTTGCAACGCATCACACTCTAAGATCACCTCCTCATACCCCATTCTTCGACCAAGCTCCGCCCCAAATCGAGCAGCCCCTGCTTCAGCCATTTCAGGGCCCCAACGAGCCTCAAGATGCTTGACAGCAGCCACTAAAATATGACCCCCAGTCCCTCTGATCACGGCACCAAAGCTAATACCACAACCTTGCTGAACATGGGCGTCAACATTAATCTTCAAACGACCACCAGGAGGAGGACTCCATGAACTTCTCAGAGCGGGAGCTGCCCCATTACTTGATGGCAGAACCTTTACATTGTAAGCACAATAGTCATAGAACAATTTCACGAAGCCAGCTCCCATCCTTACTGCATCAATACCAGCAAAACCCTCAAATATGTGCGTATTTATGCAATGCCATATGGCCCATGATAAAGACGCAAAGATACTCAGCCTTTCCTTGCTCACCTTACCGGCCATCCACACCAATCTATCCGCAATAAGGTCTCCAAAGTCACTACTATTCCACACCCTCAATGCGTATGTAAAATCAAACAAAGAGTGTATAATCGATTCCACATCACTACCACAAATAGGACACCTGCTAGAATCTCTAATATGGCATCTATTCAACTCACTCATAACAGACAAAGAGACCTTACACGCTGTCCACAAGAAATGATTGAGTTTGGGTGGTCCCCCAACACTCCAAATAATTTTCCACAAAGAGTTTGTGCTATCCCCATGGAATAAATCCCAAGCTCTTAACCTGCCTAATCGACCCAACCAATAACCACTTTTCACAAAATATACACCATCATTTGTCGGCCACCAATAGCGAGAGTCCCTTTGGGTAGTATGAGGGAGGGGGATTTCAAGTATAGTCATTCTGTCCGATGCACTAAAGTTCGACACCAACATCGAATCATCCCAGCTATTTAGAGAACTATCAATTAGATCACTAACCTTTAAGTTCAGACCGCTTCCACTAATAGGCAGAGGGACCCCCGGAGAACCTGAATCTAGCAGCCACGCATCCTCCCACACCTTAATGAGAGAGCCATCACCAACCCGCCACCTTAAACCATCAAGCAGTAAATTCTTTGCACTCCAAATACTCCTCCAACTGTAGCTCGGATCGAAGCCCCTTCTCGCCTCAATAAAATCAGAATGCTTGAAATATCTTGCTTTCAAAATGCAATGTAGCAGCGACTTATCATCCTTAATCAAGCTCCAACCTTGCTTAGCCAATAAAGCATGGTTAAAAACTCGTAAGTCCCTAAACCCCATGCCTCCTTTTGATTTCGGAAGGCAAAGATCATCCCACTTGTGTCAATCCATCTTCCTTTTCGCCCCATTCGACCCCCACCAAAACTTAGCTAGTAATGAATGAATTTCATCAATCAAACCATCATGAATTTTAAAGATGCTCATCATGTAAGTAGAGATAGCTTGGGCCACCGCTTTGATCAAGATTTCCTTCCCCGGACGAGATAGCAATTTTTCTTTCCATCCTTGAAGTTTCTTCCATATTTGCTCCTTCAAACATGCAAAAATCACTTTTTTAGATTTACCAATAATCGTCAGTAAACCCAAGTACTTTTCCTTTCTGCAGTCACACATTTGCTAAAAGCCACCTCCGTCTTGCTTAGATTAATTTTCTGACCCGATGCTCTTTCATAGATACTGATAATATCAGCAATTTTAGAACATTCTTGCAAAGTAGATTTCGCAAAAAGAATACTGTCATCAGCAAAAAATAAATGCGACACTCTAGGAGTAAATCATCAATTAATTGCACATTAAAAGTTAAAGAGGCTTTGACGACCTATTCATGGTCTGTAATACTTTGCTATTGCGAGTGGTATTTTACATTGATAATACCTTTTTGGTTTTAAAGTAGCCCAAATTCCGTAAACCTAGAATTCCAAATAATTCTAAAACTAATTAATGCCCGAGCCATGCTCGTATTTTTCAAATATATATTTATTGGGTTATTATTATTATGTATAATATGGTAAATACATATTGTATGTTGATTTACTTAGTTCTTTTTTCAATTCGATCAAATTGAACATAGGATTATGTATGTTAAAATTGAAATTTTCTAGCTTATCTTGTACTCTGATAAAATTAATTTTTAGTTATTGATTGCTTTTAAATTTCAAGCTTTATAACTAACTTTAAATTATTTATTTTTTAATGAAAAAAAACAATGTTTTTGCGGAAAATTTTTTTATGTGGTGTTGACATGTGTAATCTAAGAATATTCCTGGAAAATACTTTAGTATAATACTAGTTTTTGACCCCCGTGCATTCGGTGCAATGCACGGATTTATAAAGATTTATTAATAATAATAGTCAATTGAAATAGAGTTAATTGAAATTAAATGAGTAACATTTTTTTTTCAAATTTGAATTTATTAATGTATATCATTTAAATTATTATGTGTTTCATATTATATATATATAAATAAAATTTATTAAAATAATTTATTAGTAGAATATTTTTAAGAAATTAAATAAATAACATTTTGGAGGGAAATTTTTTTACAAAATTGTGCCAAATGTCCCCTTTGGTGATTATTTTAGTATATAGTATAGATATATATAGATATATAGATATTAACGTATTATTGGAAGAAAAATATGGAAGAATTTAAAATTGGTGAAACCTCATGAAGATTCCAGATTTATATGACAATTTATATATAGATATTTCTACACACTTCTTACACCTCCATGAGTCGTGTATAAATATTTTTCTGACGAGAAGGAAAAAAAGGTTTCATTATTAATAAACAATAGCCAAAAGGCACTTACAAACAAAACCTAAGAAGCCTAAAATTCCTAACCCAACAATCGTTTTAATAAAAAAAAAAAGAAAA